ATATATATATATATATATATATATATATATATATATATATATATATATATATATATATATATATATATATATATATATATATATATGTGTGTTGTAGATAGCTTGGTAAGTTTATATTTGTTTGATTGGTCCGAAATTTCTCTATTGTTTGAAATTAGGAAGAACTTTACTAAGGTTGTTCTTTTGTGATACGAAAAATTAGATCCGCGATAAAAATAGAAATAAGAGTACATACATTAATCCTTAATGAGTTCATCCTTTTATTTTCTTTTATATGACTCATTTAGGGACTTCCCAAGAGGTAGACTTTTTTTTCTCTATCCACCAAAGAAACTTGGCCAACCTAATCTGACCAAAACCAGTCATGTTCAGCAATGTGTTAATTCAACTTGGCCAACCTAATCTTACCAAAACCTGACATATTGGCACCTCCAAGTGATGTAGTGTCAAAGTCTATGCCTAACTTTCACCAACCAGTCATGTTCACCATTGTGTGCTTCAATAGTAGTTTTTGACTGCCTCCATGAACACACACAATAATAAACACATCCTTCCTATGAGATCAATAGTTATTACCAGTAACAAATCACTTTATGTTAGGCAAATGTTTTCTGATTTATATTACAGAGGCAAGAAATGCCTTAACAATACATGACAATCTTTGGAAGATATAATGTTAATAAGCTTTGAATGACATAGAAAAAGTGGCTTCTTGCTTAGACTGACTCTTTACTGGTCCGTATCATAACACCATTATTACTATCTTTGTGGAGACCCTAATGGTTAAGACTCTTAATGTGTCGATAATAATTCTTTTAGGAATTATTAGTTCATTCTCCATTGCTCTCAAGTGATTCGATCTTTCTAAAATCGAATCACTTGAAGTATCTAAAGAACATGAAGTATCTAAAGAACAAAAAGATACAACTTCAATGCTATTTAGATCCGACAATGTGGCTTTCAACAAGATAAAGATAACCTAATATCATTAACCGACGGTAACATAAAGACCATAAATATAGGGTAGCAAAGACAACAAAGCTTCTATGGCTGCAAAAGCTCCCCATAAAATCACATCAATCCACTATGTCCATATTGACCAATCAAAGCATTTTGTACAAAGATGAAAGATAAATACAAAACTTACTCATATTGCTCGTACAAATTTCACAGATGACAACAACAAGAATACACAAAATTTTGTGTTGTTTTGGAAGAAACGAAGAAACCCAGAGTTGTATCATCATTTACAATATGTACAATTCATTGATGAGTGCAAGAAACGTTACATCTGTCGCTGGGTGGCAAAACATAATTTACATTTGTGAAGCTTAATTACATATGGAGTACATGTAGCAGCAGTAAACACAGTGCATGATAAGTACTATGACCAAAATTACATACGTAAAACGATAGATGTTGAAGACAGAACTGGCACTGGCAACATGTATCTTACTAGAGCCAACTCAAAATGCATTCGACAGTTAAACTTATCTGCACTTTAATTGTAGGCTCAAACTCGGTTATAAAATCCGGCAAAGATTTCCCTGCTGAATGTTGTTTGCTATTGTAAAATCCTTCCAACTATTTGCAAAGCCTATAAACTTGATGCTTTCATGGTACGTGGCAGGCCAAAGTCTGTCAGATGGATCCCGAAGAGTTACAATGTTCCTTTCATGTCTTTTATCCTTCTGAGATGGCGACCACTGGGGCAACTTCTGCAAGTGTAAAAGGATCAGAATCAGAACCTCATGGAAAGGTTACAGTTGACTTCTGCAAGTGTAAACATAAGGACAACATTGTCTTTGGCTTAGACTAATCATTAGACAAGTCTTGGCCAATCTAAAATTGAAGAAAAGAAAAAGTTATGCCAAAACAATTAACGAAAAAAGGGATATGAATTAGATGTTATGATAAATTATGAATGGTTGAGATACTAGGAACATACGGAACATAATTGTTGTTACCGCAAACTGCAAGATTGCGAGAAAGATGTATGAAATTGTCTACAGAAACTAATTCCAGAATCACTTTGTTGAATTATTTAACTTTTCAATTGATATTAAATTAAAAATGTACTCCTATATTTCAAAATTTTTCATGTCAACTCTACTTTAGTCAGCAGAAGTTATGCTCAAATTGAATTGATCTAGTCACATTATTCAAAATTGTTGCAAATTACATTAGCAAATATCGTGCAACTTAAAGCAGATACCAGAAGAGTTTGATACAAAATATCAAGCCTGTTCAAGGATGTTAGAATAAATACTCACGAGACAACACTGAATGTTGGATGATAAGGTTTTAAGCAGAAGCAGAAAGAATTTGGTGTAAAAGGAAAATTCAATATATGAAAGCAAAGAAGTACAGACTACAATCACCAGATTGGATGTATTTTCCTCAGTAAAATCTACAGGAGGCATGTCCTGTGAGGTACTTCTGATGCTTCCAACCAATGGAGAGAATCTTTTCTTAATAATGAACCTGGGGTATTTCCTACAAGAAAAGGAGTTTTTTTTTTCTATCCTGCAGAACTTATGGAAGAGGCCAGTAAAAATTTACACCAAAACGAACATCACATTAAAAAATTTTCTGAAGATCCATGATGAAGAAATCATCTCTTTCAGTCAATGGGTACTCACCATTCTCCTCGCATGCATACAATTGCTTGTTTCATCTTCAACATGGTCCACCGTAAGTCCAGGGCAATTATCTTCAGAAAGCAAGGAAGGATCTCTACACATGGTAACACTGTCATTGCAGCTTACGCTAGGAGCAACTTCACTGGCAGGTAAATTAACAGGGGTTTCTTTAATGGCACTGTGTCCATTCTACAAGTCATCATTGACAATGCTGCGTATGCCTTCCTTTGTGAGAAGAAATTTGCAGACAACTTCCTCAGATGCAATCAAATTTGTCCCCATAACATCAAGAGTTCAGTGTCCTCTCACACTAACCATCTGAATTTTGCGTTCCTCCTGTTCTCCTGCTGGACATTTCTCAGTTGTGTTTTGTGGCAGTGAGAAATCTAATTTAGGAATATAGGGGATGATGTCCCAACAGCAAACAAATTAATGTTTAGTCTCAGATCTTCTGCATGCAACTGTTGGCGCAATTTCAGATTTGCCATGGCTATTCACATTGCCTGATAAGTTTTCTTCAACCAGTGGGAATCTCATCACGAGTTCAGAATGGAGCCCAGTTTCAAGGATTTCCTGATCGTGCAATGAAGTTTTATGAACAACACATGTTGTGGGTTGTTCAATGGGAAGACTCCCCTTTTCTTTGGGTTCTTCTGTTGCTTGTTCACAATGGGCACTTAGTTAAATATCAAAACCTCCACAAGACAAACGGAATGATCCAACACAAAATCATGTCATCCTTCTTGAAAAGCCAAGGAGCCATTAACAATAGACACCTGAACTCACTGGCCAAGCGAACTACTTTATTGATGAATTTTGGTCATATAAACTGCATATAAATGTTCAAAAGCATATATCAAGCAAGACCAGTGATTTAAAAAGGCGCTCGGGCGCTCGCCTAAGCGCTCAGGCGAGGCGAGGCGAGGCGAGGCCCGAGCGCCTCGCTTCATTTCCAAGTGGCGGGCTTCAAAGAGGCGCCGCCCAGGCGCTCTCTCGAGCCCAAGCGCCGGGCGCTCGCCCGGGTTAAACCAAGCGACCGAACCAGCTGTTTAGGTCTGGTTCGGTCTCTGGTGCTTTAGTTGGGTCAATCGAACCAACTAAAGCACCGATATCAGCACGACTTCCCCAACCCTAACCCTGCTCGCCGTTCATGCTGCTCGCTGTCGTCGCTCGTCGTTCCCGCTCTCATTGCTTGCTGCTGCCGCTGCCACTGTTGCCGCTTTGTCACGGACAAACTTCTCAACAAGATGTTGGATGTAATGAATGTAAAGGGGCGGCCGAAGGCTTATAAGTCCCATTTTAGTTGGGTGGTGGCCTCTTTAGGCTTGTAAATAAAGGTTGTGTCATGTGGACACGTGCGAGAGCTTTTCGGTCTGTAATGGACCATTTTACCCTTTGTTGTGCCACTGTTCAGAGCTTGTAAAGTCTGTTTGTAATTTGCATTGTCTATGAAGTGTTTTTCGGACATGTTTGCTTGTGGATCCCGTTTGAGGCGTTCTCTCTAACCCGTTCTCTCTTTTGATGGTCCTAAGGGACAATGAGAGGCTTC